GCTGCTGCTGCTGCACACTGCACGCTGTACGCTGCACGCTGCACGCTGCTGCTGCACGCTGCACGCTGCTGCTGCACGCTGCACGCTGCTGCACGCTGCTGCTGCTGCTTTCTCCGGTGCAGCGGCTCCTCACAGCCTCCAGCCTCCTGTCCATCGGCACCCCCCACACACAGCCTGCAGAAGTCTTCTTGTTGTTGTTCAGATCTCGACCAGTCAGTGCGCCCCTATGTCTCTGATCGCTGTCGCTGTGTGTGTGTGTAAGTCTCCTTGTGTCTGATTGCTGTCGCTGTGTGTGTGTGTAAGTCTCCATGTCTCTGATGGCTGTCGCTGTGTGTGTGTGTAAGTCTCCATGTCTCTGATGGCTGTCGCTGTGTGTGTGTGTAAGTCTCCATGTCTCTGATCGCTGTCGCTGTGTGTGTGTGTAAGTCTCCATGTCTCTGATGGCTGTCGCTGTGTGTGTGTGTAAGTCTCCATGTGTCTGATCGCTGTCGCTGTGTGTGTGTGTAAGTCTCCTTGTGTCTGATCGCTGTCGCTGTGTGTGTGTGTAAGTCTCCATGTCTCTGATCGCTGTCGCTGTGTGTGTGTGTAAGTCTCCTTGTGTCTGATCGCTGTCGCTGTGTGTGTGTGTAAGTCTCCATGTCTCTGATCGCTGTCGCTGTGTGTGTGTGTAAGTCTCCATGTCTCTGATCGCTGTCGCTGTGTGTGTGTGTAAGTCTCCATGTCTCTGATCGCTGTCGCTGTGTGTGTGTGTAAGTCTCCATGTCTCTGATCGCTGTCGCTGTGTGTGTGTAAGTCTCCATGTCTCTGATCGCTGTCGCTGTGTGTGTGTAAGTCTCCATGTGTCTGATCACTGTCGCTGTGTGTGTGTGTAAGTCTCCATGTCTCTGATCGCTGTCGCTGTGTGTGTGTGTAAGTCTCCATGTCTCTGATCGCTGTCGCTGTGTGTGTGTGTAAGTCTCCTTGTGTCTGATGGCTGTCGCTGTGTGTGTGTGTAAGTCTCCATGTCTCTGATCGCTGTCGCTGTGTGTGTGTGTAAGTCTCCATGTGTCTGATCACTGTCGCTGTGTGTGTGTGTAAGTCTCCATGTCTCTGATCGCTGTCGCTGTGTGTGTGTGTAAGTCTCCATGTCTCTGATGGCTGTCGCTGTGTGTGTGTGTGTGTAAGTCTCCATGTCTCTGATCGCTGTCGCTGTGTGTGTGTGTGTAAGTCTCCATGTCTCTGATCGCTGTCGCTGTGTGTGTGTGTGTAAGTCTCCATGTCTCTGATCGCTGTCGCTGTGTGTGTGTGTAAGTCTCCATGTGTCTGATCACTGTCGCTGTGTGTGTGTGTGTAAGTCTCCATGTCTCTGATCGCTGTCGCTGTGTGTGTGTGTAAGTCTCCATGTCTCTGATGGCTGTCGCTGTGTGTGTGTGTAAGTCTCCATGTGTCTGATCACTGTCGCTGTGTGTGTGTGTGTAAGTCTCCATGTCTCTGATCGCTGTCGCTGTGTGTGTGTGTAAGTCTCCATGTCTCTGATGGCTGCCGCTGTGTGTGTGTGTAAGTCTCCATGTCTCTGATCGCTGTCGCTGTGTGTGTAAGTCTCCTTGTGTCTGATCGCTGTCGCTGTCTGTGTGTGTAAGTCTCCTTGTGTCTGATGGCTGTCGCTGTGTGTGTGTGTAAGTCTTCTTGTCTCTGATGGCTGTTGCTGTGTGTGTGTGTAAGTTTCCATGTCTCTGATCGCTGTCGCTGTGTGTGTGTGTAAGTCTCCATGTCTCTGATGGCTGTCGCTGTGTGTGTGTGTGTGTAAGTCTCCATGTCTCTGATCGCTGTCGCTGTGTGTGTGTGTAAGTCTCCTTGTGTCTGATCGCTGTCGCTGTCTGTGTGTGTAAGTCTCCTTGTGTCTGATGGCTGTCGCTGTGTGTGTGTGTAAGTCTTCTTGTCTCTGATGGCTGTTGCTGTGTGTGTGTGTAAGTTTCCATGTCTCTGATCGCTGTCGCTGTGTGTGTGTGTAAGTCTCCATGTCTCTGATGGCTGTCGCTGTGTGTGTGTGTAAGTCTCCATGTGTCTGATCACTGTCGCTGTGTGTGTGTGTAAGTCTCCATGTGTCTGATCGCTGTCGTTGTGTGTGGGTGTGTGTGTGTAAGTCCCCTTGTCTCTGATAGCTGTCGCTGTGTGTGGGTGTGTGTGTAAGTCTCCATGTCTCTGATCGCTGTGGGTGTCGTCAGTGTGACGTGCCTCTGACGCGTGTGGAGGTGACTCCGCTCGGCGTGCTGCCAGCGCGAATCACCACCACGTCACGGACTACGGAGAGCGTCAACATCGGCTTTGATTGCGTCTTCCTCTGCCTGCAAATGTGCAGAGTTGTTCTATAATTTTGAGTTGAATGAAAATTGGTTCTTGACTGTTGATGAGCTTGGAGTTTTCTTGTGTTGAACCAACTTGGCTGAAATTATTGACGTTCACAAGGACGTTTGGCTGATGAGATGTGTTGAAAAAATACTTAATTTTCTTTTTTTACTTGGAGCAACAGATATGTGAAGGAGGCAAAATTGTCTTTATTTGGTTACAGATAACAGGATCGTTTGTGGAAAACACGCCGTACGGATAACAGGGAAGACTGAGAGTCGATTTATTCGGTGTAGTTAACGTTGATACCCTGACTGGGGTGTGGGTCCAGTGAGCTGCCTCTGGGTAACAGGTCATGTTGGATACAGAATACCGACCGCATCCCAGTTTTCGGGAGTGGAATAATTTAATTGGTCACACTAGAAGGCACGCATGACATGGTCTGCCCCACTCATTAATTCCGGCCCTCCTCGCCGAGCCAGCCTGAAGCTGTCACCTCTGCCCCTCTTGGTACAGCTCTCACGATTCGTAGCTCTGCCTCATTTGCTCAGGTTTTTTTTCAAAGTAGGAATCTGTTCTTCCAACCGTCGCGCCCGGGAGATTGAACCCGGTGACCTCTGGATGGCAAGTCCAGCACGCTGACGGTGACACCACTGTGGCAGCATCCCCTTGTGTTCCGCCAGCACTCGCACCTCCGATTAGCACGGTTGGCTACGTACGGTGCAAAAGAAGTTCAACATGTGTGCATACCGACGCGATAGTGGTCTACCAGCGGCCGCACGAGCTGCGTATCCCATGAGCTACGTTGAGAAGCACGTCATATTCGATCATCGATCCACTGCTAGATGAAGTCCTCCCCAAGCCGTCGCCTTCTCTTATAATTCTTCCATGTAATCATCTTATAAAAAATTAAAAAAATAAAAAAATTTGCCAGGTAAGGCCCACTGAGCTATATAGCTCCTTTTTCAGAAGCGACCTGGCCACAAATGATAGCTCAACCAAGTGACTTATCACGTGGACATGTATCGTATTTCATATGCGCGCATCGTATTAAGCAATGGCCGCAGTGCTTATCTGTGATGAATGATCCCGTGCTATTCGCATCCCCGAGTGTGAACGTGCCTGCTTGATCCTCAGATTGCACCCTACTTTAACGAGCGAGCCCATGTCAACATTTCCCAGTCCTCATGCTCTGCACGCTTATCTCTGTCAGTGCCGTCTGTATTTAGCCTCCCCTGTTTGCTTGGACAATTTTCCAGGAACAGTTTAATCTGCGTAATGCATGTACGTATGCATGTTGAACTTCTTTCGCGCCGTACGTAGCCAACCGTGCTAATCGGAAGGGTAACCAGCAAGGAGGAGTCTCGTTTGCAAGGGTGACCTGGGTCACCAAAATGACAAAAACTAAATACATTTCATATCAAAGAAAAACAAATAGAAATAAAAGCAAAAAGCAGAACAAAATTATAAAAAATAAAGTGCACGAATGTAAGGATTATTAAATAAAATACGTTTCCGACATTATTGCCGCACTAGGAGATTGTGCACGGATTAAGGTGTCTCTTCTTGGCGCTTTGCCGCATTGCTTTTTATGATCAAGCCCAGCTCTCAACCCGCCACACCTCTGTGTGGCACAAGTTACTGAGACGCACCGTGGGGAGTAGAGGAAGAACATCTTACAATACCAGAAGAGGGGGTGCCACTGTGTCTAGGAGATGTTAACTACCTTGCCTGGTATGCCTGCTGTATATTTGGAGTTTGCGTGTCTCTCTCTCGTCGCGGTTGTGTGGATTTTTCTCCGGGTCCTCCGGTTTATCCCTCCACGTTTAGAATCAATATCACGCGTTCGGAGTTTTTGGCTGCTATAAATTTGTACGTGATGAGCCACTTCGTTGAACTATCAGTTGTGGCCAGGTCGCTTCTAAAGAAAGAGCCGTATAGCTCGGTGGGCCTTACCTGATCAAATAAACATAGTTTCGTTTTTTAGTTTAGGTTTTAGTTTTCAGCGGTGCAAAATTATGCAACGGTGCGGGTGAAGGACAACAAACGCAACACAAAAACGAATTCTAAAAGACAATGAGTTTTCAAGTGTAGATCATTTAAAAGTGGCTTCCTAATATCGTGAGGAAGAGCGCGTTCCAGACGGTCGCGGTGACCACCGTCTTCACAGAGCTTTTTGCTGCAGCGGCACCGGGCAGGGGGCGCTCGATCGGTTGATGCGGAATGCGTGACTGGCTGGGATGTGCGATCACGTTCACGCCACTGACGTTGGGAGCTCTCGCGTGATGAGCTGTGGATGGCGTCGGCGTAACTAGGGGGGGGGGGGCGCAGTGGTAAGATGTTAACTCCCTCGCCTGGTATACAGAAGGTTATGGGTTCGATTCTGACCCTGACGTAGTTTGCGTGTCTCTCTTTCTCCCCGTGGTCGCGTGGATTTTTCCCCGGGTCCTCCGGTTTTTCCCTCCACATTTATAATCAACATCACGCGTTTAGAGCGTTTGACTGCTGCTATAATTGTCCGCGTGATAAGCCACTTCATTGGGCTATGATTTGTGTCGCCAGGTAGCATCTTTAAGAAGAGCTAGATATAGTTGAGTGGGCCTTACCTGGTTAAAATAAGAAAAACTTTATAGTTCTAACTGGGCTCTCTGCACATGTGTGTGTGTGCGTTGCAGGTCACAGGACAGCGGCCGTCACCGTGAACTCCCGCGACACCAACCCCATCGTGCGGGAGTACGAACGTAAGTGGCCCTCTGTCTCTCCCAACTTCGCAACGCGTACAGAGATTCCCCCCCCCCCCCCGTGTAGCCTTAACAGCCTGCAGGGGCAAGTGCTGTTAGCGAGTAGCACCTGTGAATGCTGGCGCGGCGCACGAGGGGGCGGGTGGCCAGCACCACGCCCGGCCGTCTTTGTCTCCCCAGTGTCGATGTTTGCACACCGCACCGGGTATTCATTTCAGGCTTAGTCGACCTATGGGAGGCCCAGAACCGTTTCAGATAATGGTTACTCGTGTCGGCCGTGAGTGGGAAACGATCCCGGATCTGCCGGGTTCGTAGCGCAGCGCGCTAAGCACTACACCTCCGCTCTCACACAACGCACGCACGCACACACATGCACGCACACACAGATCTGAACACTCCAGCACCACCCCGCTCCATCGGAGGAGGCGTGGTGGCTGTTTAGAAAATGGAACAGCTTTTTGCGTAACTGGGTGCCCTGGTAACGACTGGCTTCGGGCTGTCAGCAGAGGTCTCTCGCTTCACATCGCGTGAGCGATGGCCTCGTTCCGTCGGCTGCGAAATGCCGTGTGGAAGCTGTCGCCCGGCTGTCGATCCTCGTGAAGTCGTCCATATTTCTAACCAGCGGTCGTTTCGTCATGCGCGCACACGGTGTGGGGTGTGCACCTTTCTCCAAGAGCGTTTGACGCGGGATAAAAATAAACGTCGGCTGTGCCGCTCACACTCCCTCCCTGGCTTTATCTGGGAAGAATCGTTTGAGGCATTCAGGGAAACTGAAGTGACCTTGACAGAGTGTGAATTGTTTTCCTGGGGCAGGTCAGGCTGCGCCGACTGGGTGTGTGGCCCGCGGTTTGGACCGTGGCACTGCCAGGCGCTTTCATGTATTTTGTACGTACGTTGAACTTCTTTCGCGCCGTACGTAGCCGACCGCGCTAATCGGAGGTGCGGGAGAAGGACAACAAACGTAACACAAAAAGCGGTTCTCAAGAAATGAGTTTTCAATCTAGATGATTTAAAGTGCATAGCTGCCAGTGGCTTCCTAATTTCGGAAGGAAGAGCCTTCCGGATGGCCGAATAAGCGCACCTGACTGTGTTCGATGGTTCGTGGTTCTGCTTCGGCAGGCTGCCCTGGTCATTTCTGCAGGTGCATTCACCATACAAGCAAGTGCCATTTGCTTCGAATCGAAACCTGTGGTTGTATTGACACGGTGGCTGCGCAGTGGACAGTTGGTGCTTGCTGTTGTTGTTGTGTGTCAGCGTGTGTGATGATGACACTTGATATTTGTCTTGCAGAGGTGACCCTGCACTGCCAGTACCAAACGGTGAGCGTCAGTCCGCGCGTCGAGTGGAAGAAAATCAAGGGAGGCGAAAAGAACTTTGTGTTCTTCAACGGGCAGATTACAGGTGCGCTCGATAAGAATAATTATCTAGATAATTATAATAATATTTATTATTATTGCTTATTTACCCAGAAAAAACACTTCGAGCCCATAGACTCGTTTTCTTGAGGGTCCCGCTACATCGGGATGTTTTTGGCCAACACCAATGATGTTGCGTGTGCTTAGCTATGGGAGGAACACCAGAGAACCCAGAGGGAACCCATGCAGAAGAGCGGGAGAACATACAGACTCCACATGCCGAAAGTCACCCAGGTTGGGAATCTATGAGTCCACAATTATGTATGTATGTTGAACTTCTTTCGCACTGTACGCAGTCAACTGTGCTAATAGGAGGTGTGGAGGAAGGACAATAAACTTAAACACAAAAATCAGTTCTAAAGAAATTAAGTTTCAATCTTTAATATTTAGAAGTCCGTAGCTCCTGTGGCTTAATATCGGAAGGAAGAGCATTCTAGACGGCCGCAGAAGCACACCTGAAAGCGCGCGATGCGATGACCTCAATGTGTTGTTCGGCAACCAGAAGCCAATTCCACGTGACTCTAGTTATTCACTCAGCCCGTGTTCAGCCACCTCATGATCACTCTTCTATCACTACGAGTACTATGACTTCTCTAGTTCCTGTTCCTGTGAAGTTTTTATTTAAAGCTTCTTCGTGACTGCAGGGATTCATATTCTTGGTTCTTTCGGTAAAGTCACGTAGAAGGGAAATAATAAAATAATAAACATATAAAACAATAAAAATTGCTGTGGATTTCACACCTGATGATGATTGCTTGTGTTGCAGTCGAAACGTCGTGAGAATTTTTATTGTTTTATATTTTTATCATTTTATTATTTCTCTTCTACGTGACTTTACCGAAAAAACCAAGAATATGTTCCTGTGAACTTTCATTCATTGATTCCTCCAACAAAATGTTTAGGACTCTGTCTGCCAGACTGGCTGTTTTGGCGTCCTCCACACTGTGTTCAAAGACAAAGATCCCCCTTATAGCCTGAACAGACTGTTGGGGCAAGTGCTGTTAGCGAGTAGCACCTACGAAGGTCGGCATGACAGACGAGGGGTTGAGTGGCCAGCACCACACCCGGCCGCCTTTGTCTCCTGAATGGCACCATATATTCATTTTGAGGTTGATTCGACCTAGGGGAAGTCCCGGACCGATTCAGATAATTGTCACTGGTGTTGGCCGTGAGCGGGAATCGATCGCGGGTCGCCGGGTTCGTAGCGCAGTGCACTAACTGTGACACCACCGCTCCCCAACACACTGACACACTTACTCACAAAACTGCGCGCCCACTCACCCACCTGCCCACTCACCCCTCTGCAGGTCACCCCACTTCTCGCTCCGCTTCTTCCCTTGCACTGCTCCATTTTGGGACTCCCTCCGTCCCATCGTCTTTTCCCAAGCTCCCGTAATAACCTCGGCTCAATCCCAGAAAGCGTGTCAACTCATACCTCTCGCAGCGTCTTTAAGTCGCGTTGCTTGTTTGCTCGCCACTTAACGTTTTGGGCCAAAGGGGCCTTGTGGTCAGCAACTGAGTTTTGGAAGGAAACATTTTACAACAGCGACTTCTATATTGAATTTCTGTTTCTCCGTTGGCAATGGAGCTGCCTGTAATTCTCCTCTCAGTGAATGACTATGTTCGAACCGAAACCGTAACAGTTTACAAAAAAACCCTCCCCTTTGACCCGCTCGTTTATTTTTGGAATTTACAGTACCGAGGCGACGGCACACGCGGCGCTCCGCTGCCCGTGCGTGATCGTGCGCCGTAGGCGGTGACTGCGGTGTTGCGCTGCTGCTGCTGCTGCTTTCGTTCCTCAGTGCCATGTGGCGCAAACAATTTGCACCTCCGTGCGCTTTCAGCTCCCCTGAGATGCCATTTGAAGGTGCGAGCCACTGGGTGAGTTGTAGACCCAGTTTGTAAACGTTAAAATTAACACGGCTTAATTGTGAGGATTTTTTTTTTACTTCTCACATTTTTGCACTTGGTTAGCAAGCTCTGATTGTGAAAGTGATAATGAATACCAGAGTTATCTCCTCACTTAATTAAAGGAAGTACATTGAGTTCATTGAAAGTGTACTCGCATTTAATGATTACGATGAATGCTGATTTAGTCAGTTTGGTGTTTGTGCCGCTGTTACAGCGCAGGGCGATCGTTGCGAAGGAAGTTGCTGTGTCTCGTAGATGCAGTCTGCGGCAGGTTTAGAGTCGGGGGGGCGATGCTGCTGCTGTGTGTGATCCCAATTGAGTTATTTGCAATATTAAAATTTGTCAGATTTGGACCGAGTCCCTCCCGACACACAGTGGCCAACTGCTGACTGCAGATTGATTTTTTTTTAGTTGCACTGAGAATGTATTTTCCAGCACCTAGTCCATGCAAGACGTTAGAACACGTGACAAGCAAACGAAGCGTGTGGAGCGAGACGAATGGACAAATTTCTTTAAACCTCCTGCCTCAAAGCTTAAAGCGCTGAGACTGGGAGGTTGAGGAAGTGGGTGGGGGGGGGGGGCTCACTGGGAAACGTCCGCTGAGTTTTAACATCCACTGTGAAAGACGCGTTCAAAGGAATGTGCATTAACGTGTGACTGTTTTTTTACGAACTTTTATTTTACCAGGTAAGGCCCACTGAGCTATGTAGCTCTTTTTCTGAAGCGATCTGGCCTCAAATGATAGCTCAACGAAGTGGCTTATCATGTGGAAATCTATAGCAGCCAAAAGCTCAAAACGATTAGCATGGTTGGTTACGTACGGTGTGAACGAAGTTCAACATACATACGTAACATGTTGATTGTAAATGTGGAGGGAAAAAGTCGAGCACCCAGAGAAAAATCCACGCCACCACAGGGAGAACATGCGAACTCCAAATATACAGGCGTCAGGGTCGGGATCGAACCCGCGACCGCCTGTATACCAGGGGCGAGGTAGTTAACATCTGCCCCTGCTGAGCAAAGGCCTCCCCATTCTCTTCCATCCCCTCCTCGGCCGCTCCTCTCCAGCCGCGACGTCTGAACTCTGCGACGTCGCCTCCCCGCTCCTACTGCTACTGCCGTGTCTTCCGGCGTCTCTCTCTCCGCCTTGTGCCGTCGCTCGGCCTCCTCCACTGCGTAGTTCACCACAGCTCGGCTGCGTGCGCGACGCCGATCTGCGCGCGTGCAGGTGACCTGAAGGACCGCGCGTACATCGCCGACGTGGCCCGGGCCTTCAACGCCTCGGTCACGATCCGCAACGCCTCGCGCAGCGACACGGCCACCTACCGCTGCGAGGTCCTGGCCACGCAGGACACCAAGCCCTTCGACGAGATCGAGATCAACCTGGTCGTGCAAGGTGCGCCGCGCCCGCGCCGCCGCTCCATGTTTTATATATATTTTTTGCGGCCGCGTAGGTTTCCCTGCAAATTTGCAACGCGCGCAGTTTTAGTTCGCTGTCGGACAGAGGGAGAACGATGCAGTGGCGCGGGGAACTACAAACCTTGCGGGGAATGCAGCCCGAACCGCATGGTTGCCCAACAGTTTCCCGAGCTCTGTGGCCCTATCCTGGGATGTTTGGCCAACTCCGTGGCGAGTGTTCACGCACTAGAGAGGAACCCGGAGTGCCTGGAGAGAACCTACGCGTGCGAGGGGCCTAATGCTCACTCTCCATGCCGATGAAAACGAATGGAAATTAATCCACCTTGCTGTACTGCCATCAAACCGTGGTAAGCCAGGAGATGCTGCACGGCGCTCCGGTGCGTGTTGGGGTTGTGCCGCGCGATGTCTGATGGGTCGTACCACGTGCTGTGATGGTCGGCATACTTGACTTGCAATCGATCTCCCGGCAGTATAAATGTTTACGCCACTATTAGCCCATTGGCAGATCGCATGTGGTGCCAAGATGTTAACAGCCTCACCTGGTAAACAGGAGCTCGTGGGTTTGATCCCGACCCTGATGCCTTCATATTTGGAGTTAGCGCGTTCTGCCTGTGGTTTTATCCTCCACATTTAGAATCAACATCACGAGTATGTGGCTGCTAGAAATGTCGCCCTGAGAAGCCAGTTCGTTCAGCCATTATTTGTGGCTAGGTTGTTTCTGAAAAAGAGCTGCATGAGCCTTACCTGGTAAAACAACAAGTGAGTAGGCGGGCCACGCTCCAGAGGGGCTCTCTGGATAGAGCTCCCTTTAGCGGAGGCCCCTTGTGCGCAAGCGAGCAATTGCAGGGCTGCGCCTTTTCCACCTCTTGTTGTTTCTTCGTCAATGCCGCCATGCACGGCACTCTTCTTTATAACTTCTAACATTTAGCAATTCCCAGGCATGGTCCCGCGGCGCTTTACTTTGCCAGCGTTCCATCGCGTTGCCGGCTCTACGTCACATTGCCGGCTCTGCGTCGTGTTGCCGGGGTTATGTCGTGTTGCCGGCGTTATGTCGTGTTGCCGGCGTTATGTGGTGTTGCCGGCGTTATGTGGTGTTGTCAGTGTTATGTCGTGTTGCCGGCGTTATGTCGTGTTGCCGGCGTTATGTCGTGTTGCCGGCGTTATGTGGTGTTGCCGGCGTTATGTCGTGTTGCTGGCGTTATGTCATGTTGCCGGCGTTATGTCGTGTTGCCGGCGTTATGTCGTGTTGCCGGCTCTGTGTCGCGTTGCTGGCGTTCCGACGCTTTGCCGGCATTGATTCTGCTCTTTGCTGTCGTCGGCACTCGGCAGTGAAGCCCGTGACGCCACGCTGCGTGGTGCCAACCGCGGTCACCACCGGGCGCTCTACCGAGCTGCTGTGCCAGGAGTCGGAGGGCTTCCCCATCTCCACGTACCAGTGGTTCCGCAACGGCGATCAGGTGCCCCTCGACCCCAAGAGCAGCCTCAAGTTCTCCAACTCCTCGTACCGCCTCAACGTCAACACCGGCAGCCTGGTACGGGGAGGCCGTCGCGACCCCTTCGCTCGAGGGGCGCAGTGGGCGGTGCGCTATCGGAAAGGGTCACGAGTTCAAATCAGGGTTGGGGTTTGACTCGACCCAATGTTCCACGAGTGCCGCTCTGTGACAAATTCAACATCGGTTGTGTTTTCGATGGACACACTCCCGCCATAAGAATGCAGAATTTCCACCAATGGCTCGGCTATAAATGGGAGGTAAGCCCTGTCCGCCTGCTCATTTTGCGCAGCTGTATAGCAGCTCAGTCGGCGTTACCTGGTAAAATAAAAATAGGTTCAAATAGTTCAGTGGTTTGGCGGTGGCGCGGACCAGCAGTGGCATTCCCGCCTCTTGTTGTAGGGGATGGCGGTTCGAATTCCGCAGGCTGCCCTGGTCATTACTGTGGGAGTACTGCACATAACAAAAATTCACGCTGTCCGCTTTGACGCCATTTATAAACAGCAGGCCGCTGCGTGCCGGTGTCATGGTCGAAATTTTGGCAAATTAGAAAAAAATGTTGGGTGAACCTACTGCAGGCCGTGTCTGTGAAACGCAGCAGTGAGGGCCTTGCGGCGACCGCCTCCGGAAGGACGGGTGCTAAGTCAGTGCCGGCGGCAGGGAAGGGCACGTGTGTGAACCGTCACGTCTAACCCCACCTCCTCTCCTTCCACGTATGTACGCAGACGTTCAGCGGCGTGCGCCCCATGGACACGGGGAACTACTACTGCGTGGCCTCCAACCCCGCGGGGAGCGCCCAGTGCTCGGCACAGCACATGGAAGTCAGTAAGTGTCCGCAACCTCCAGTTAGCAGAGTTGGCCACGTAACGGTGCGAAAGAGAAGTTCAACGTACATACACACACGTACGTACATCAGCGGTATCTCTGTGTATCCCGCCTGACTGTGCCAGGCCGCGCGACTCTCATGCTGCGTTCCCACAGCCACTGGGTAGCGAGCCAGTTCGGTTCGACACAGATTCCCACGGTAGCCTTCAAGTCTATACCGACCCAGACTTTGATTACCAAAACATTTTAACTGATGTTCCTCCCCGCATGCACGCGCTCACACGGAGGCCTCGCCACGCCGGCCTCTCGCAGGGATCGTGTTTTGGCCGTATCGTGACGCTCCTCTGGAGTCTCGTTCCCTCGGCTCGCAGCTCTTCTCTCGCCGAGGGAGGCGTTTTGACCTGCAGGGTGGTTGATGGACGCGGGGCACGGCTGGGACAAAATAGCGGCTGGGACAAGACAGTCTCTCTGCCAGACTGCCGAGTTGGATCTACAATTTTCCCGAAACTTCAGATAAAAAATAATATGTCCCGACATTAATAAACAAAACCATCGATGTACCTCTCTGGTGAATATTAATGAAATACCAATTTTTGGATTCTCAAGGCGGGGGAAGGGGACAACCTCCCCTATCCACAACCCCCCCCCCATCCTCCCCTCCTCCTTGGATCTGCCACTGGTAGACCGCGTGCCCCACATGGGGGCGAAGAATCGATGAGTGACGTCAATGGGAATAGCAAACCAACCATGGTATAGTGGCAATAGAAGAATGATTGGGTTGTTAGGGTTGTGACTGACCACCCGTGAGCGAGTCGCCGATGAGGCCCAGCGGTTGCTGGATCACAGAGCACCCCCCCTGGCTGCTGCGCTGCGTTGGTGCGAGCTCCCCCACCCCCCCCCTCCCCCCCCCTCCCCCCCCTCTCCCCCCCTCCCTGGGGCCGCCCCGGGCGGCATCCACGAGACCCTCACGAGCGACTTGCGCTTCGCAGATGACCTGAACGTGGGCGCCATTGTCGCGGCCGTGATCGTGGTGGTGCTGGTAGGTGGCGCTGTGCGGCATTGCCGTCTGGTGGGCTCACAAGATGGGCTACTTCAAAAGTAAGCGCGGCCCGTCGGGTGACGTGTGACGCGCGGCGCTGTGGCCACCGCTAAGAGCCTGTGCACCCCCCTCCCCCCCCCCTCTTCTTCCACCCCGCTCCCTCCACTTTCTTTATTAAGTTCGTTTTCCCCTCCCCTCGCCACGCACCCCGCTCGCGGTCCCCACTCGGTGGGTTAGTGGCGAGCCCAATCTCCCCCCTTCTCTCAACCCAGGTGCACGGCGTTTGGGACTATGTCCGCGGAGTTTCTGTACCCCCGCCAGGGCTCCTATTGAAACAAACAAACAAATGATGCATAAATTAGCCTGCGCACGCCTTAGCGAGCTGTTTGGCTCCCGGCACTCGGAGCGAAACGTCGAACACGGTGCCAACGCTGCACGACCTGGCGAAGCGGCGGGGGGAGCGCCGAGTGCCGTTTAACCGCTGAATCCTTTCACGTTCCGAGACGTCTGCAAGTTGCAGGGCGGGCTGTCCCGTTCACCGCTGATTCTCGGAGCGCTGGAGCGGCTTGGCGTTAATGTTATTTAGAGAGGCGTGGCGGCGCCGCTCTTTTTAAGGACATTGCACTCATTGCAGAGAAGCGTGGCGACACGACCGCACTCTACGATAGCCGGCGCCGAACTGTGCCACACGCCCTCCCGCGCGACCTCGGTACTGAAGATATAGGGGATAAAGTTAGTTAATTTTTTATTCTAATTCGGTGCCAATGATGTACACGTACATCATCATTTCCCGCACTTCCGATTGGCACGGCTGGCTACGTACGGTGCTAAATAAGTTCAACATACATACATCGGAATGTACGTTATCAGAATGCAATTGGAAGAAAAACTGATGACGTATGTCATCGGTATGGGAAAGCGTTTAATGGTGAGCCCCCATAACGGCTGTCGTCACCTCCCTTGGAGGGGGTGGGGGAGGGGGGGCCACTCAGTTTGACGGATGTGACACGAGGCCGCTTGGCCACGAACCTGGTGAGCTGCCGCCAGCATGTGCCCGTGTGCCAGTGCCGGTGCTGTGCGCGCAAATCCATTCATCGCCGGTGATGCCATCATGTTGGCTGCACGTCAACGTTGCCTCTGCCGAGTGGTGACTTCACGACATTATTTGGCTGCAATTCTGCCATGTCCTACCCAGCCGGTTACCTCTGTGAGAACCGAATTGCTTACGTTGTAGACCGTTGTACTTACAAAGGAATTGCTTATGTTGTAGACCGTTGTACTTACAGAGGAATTGCTTACGTTGTAGACCGTTGTACTTACAAAGGAATTGCTTATGTTGTAGACCGTTGTACTTACAGAGGAATTGCTTACGTTGTAGGCCGTTGCTACATACGACCACAGGTTTTAGTTGGAATCCAGGAATGGGATAGCGTTGCGTTGCGTTGTGTCGGTCGTTAATTTACAACATGGTGTTTTTTTTCCCCTCCCCATTTTCCAGAACACAAGGCTTCTTCAAGGTAAGATCTTCCAGTCACAGCAGTGTGCCGTGCACGTACACACACGTGCATACACGTACACAGACGTACACACACACACGTACACACACGCACATGTACATACACGTACACACACACATGTACATACACGTACACACACGTGTGTAGTGACATTGAATGAGTCACTGTAGCGCGTGGCGCTGGTAGATTGGTAGACAATGGGCAAGCAGCCCGCTCTACCAGTTGGACCCGTGGGCCAAGCGCCGAGCCTTCTGGGGGATCCAGAGGGGGGCGTGGCCGAGGGCGGAGCCTGGCCACGCTGGGGAGTATAAAAGGCGAGCTGCGACTCACAGTCGGGGCTGCTGCCATCGGGAATGGAACTCGTCGTGCTGCTGCCGTCGTGGTCTTCGCCTCTCCAAGCTGTGGGTCTGGAAGCATGTTGGCTGTCCCGACCCGGTACGGAGTTGTCCCCTATGGCTGTGAGAGCCGGAATAAACAAGAGGGATAACGCCTGATACTAGTGTCTCTGAATTAGTAGACGACACGTACACGTAAGAACACGCACACAAACCTACATAAACGTACATACACGTACACACACGTACACACACATACAACTAACAACCGCCATTCGCCACTAAGTGGCGCTGACGTCACCACGACGCTTGTGCCAGGCCAGGCCATGTGCACCTTGAAGCCACGTGAAGTGTCGAACGCCCGTTGGCAGGAGGTCACGGGGCAGACCCAGGTGCCACGGGTGGACTGAGATGACTGGCTGATTTACCACTTGTGCCCCCTGCACGCACATACACACATACGCACACACACGCATACACATACACACATGCATACACATACACACACGTACACACACGTACATACACGCATCCAAACTTCGCAGTCAAGCAGCAGTTGCACGCTGTGCTGTTCGAGGGAAGGTGTGTTCGCGACAACTTCACATTCACTGGCACAGAAACTCAACTAAAGTTAGTTTTTTATTTACCAGGTAAGGCCCACTGAGCTATGCAGCTCTTTCTCAGACGACCTGGCCACTATCACAAACGATAGCTCAACGAAGTATTCGTCATCACCTGGATATTTATAGCAGCCACATACTCTAAACACGTGACGTTGATTCTAAATGTGGAGGGGAAAACCGGAAGACCCAGAGAAAAATCCACGCGACCACGGTGAGAACACGCAAACTCCAAATATACAGCAGCAGGCGTCAGGGTCGGGATTAAGCCCACGACCTCCTGTAAACCAGGCGAGGTAGTTAACTGCTCGCCACCTCCACGCCTACCGTGTCACCTTCTCAACGCTCGCGTGAGAGTCCACTGAACAGACTGTGCCTGGAATAGATGTAATGATTATCACCCCATTACCTTCTTAACCATTTCATCACGAGAATATAATTATCACATGTTAAGTTGATGATCACCGCAACATTAAATGACAGGTCTCAGAGCATATGGTGCTGATTGTATTCTGAACGTAGGAAATGTACGCAATATGAACCGGGATTCATCTCTTGAAAGCGGATTGCCCTTGTTGCGTTGTTTGCCTTTTCAAAATCATATCATCGTGCAATGAGTGTCGCCTTATTAATATAAATTCTGAGTTAAGTCATTGATTCATTTTATTATTTTTCATTTGTGTAACAGTATCAAGTATTCTTTGGACCAAGTGTCAGTTGCATATTTAATGACTGGCACTCTTGTTTTAATTATATAAATAAGAGACTTGTTTGTATAAAAAAAGTGTGTTTTTGTGTCGTTTAACGGTGTGTGTCAAATTAATTTGTTAAATACGAGATGTCAAAGAATCTGGACAATAATGCTGGCTTCTGTCATTGTGTTTGTCTAGCTTACCAATCACACACGAGACGAACCAAATACAGAATTACAATAAATGACAGGCACCTTCCAGAACGACAGGGAGTGCAGTGTGCAAGGCTCAGAGCACCTAAAGCAGTAGCGCCTCAATAAACTCGTGCAATGGAGCGCGAGATGTTAACTACCTCGCCTGGTGTGCAGGAGCTCGTGGGGTTGATCACAACTCTGACGCCTGCTGTATACTTGGAGTTTGCGTGCCTCTCCCCTGTGGTCTCGTGGATTTTTTTCCTGGTGCTCCGGTTTTTCCCTCCACATTTAGCAACACGCGTTTGCATCTTCGATTAGTGTGGCTGGCTATGTACAGTGCGAAAGAAGTTCATCATATAGCACATACATACAAACATACGTTTAGAGTATTTGGCTGCTATACATTTCCGCGTAATAAGCCACTTCGTTGAGCTGTCATGTGGCCAGGCCACTTCAGAAAAAGAGCTACATATAACAAGGTGGGCATTACCTGGTAATATTAAAAAAAAAGTTTTAGTTTTAGTTTGGGTGGTGAAATCACCGTTCCTTTTTGGGCACGATGTCGCGCCCGTGCAATCAGCCGCTGGTTCTCCTCCGTGTGCTCCTCTGAGATCCTCAACGGTGCCTCCGGGCGGCCAGAGCCAGTGGCGACCTACTTACCTGGCTATTTGTGTTTAATACCAGTCCTCGTTATTTAAAGTTTTGCAGCAAACTTTATTTTTTGGCAAACTATTTCGATTTCTTTAAAGGGATATGATATGAAAATAAAAAACCCCTACGTAATGCGATGAGTTATTTAGAGAGAAACTGGCGTGGCCTATAAATGCGAGCGCTGGGGAAGCAATACGTGCCTACCCACAGCACTGGCGCTAGCATGTAAGTATGTTGAACTCCCTTGGCATGTAAGTATGTTGAACTCCCTTGGTATGTAAGTATGTTGAACTCCCTTGGTATGTAAGTATGTTGAACTCCCTTGGCATGTAAGTATGTTGAACTCCCTTGGTATGTAAGTATGTTGAACTCCCTTGGCATGTAAGTATGTTGAACTCCCTTGGTATGTAAGTATGTTGAACTCCCTTGGTATGTAAGTATGTTGAACTCCCTTGGTATGTAAGTATGTTGAACTCCCTTGGCATGTAAGTATGTTGAACTCCCTTGGCATGTAAGTATGTTGAACTCCCTTGGTATGTAAGTATGTTGAACTCCCTTGGTATGTAAGTATGTTGAACTCCCTTGGTATGTAAGTATGTTGAACTCCCTTGGTATGTAAGTATGTTGAACTCCCTTGGTATGTAAGTATGTTGAACTCCCTTGGTATGTAAGTATGTTGAACTCCCTTGGCATGTAAGTATGTTGAACTCCCTTGGTATGTAAGTATGTTGAACTCCCTTGGTATGTAAGTATGTTGAACTCCCTTGGTATGTAAGTATGTTGAACTCCCTTGGTATGTAAGTATGTTGAACTCCCTTGGTATGTAAGTATGTTGAACTCCCTTGGCATGTAAGTATGTTGAACTCCCTTGGTATGTAAGTATGTTGAACTCCCTTGGTATGTAAGTATGTTGAACTCCCTTGGTATGTAAGTATGTTGAACTCCCTTGGTATGTAAGTATGTTGAACTCCCTTGGTATGTAAGTATGTTGAACTCCCTTGGTATGTAAGTATGTTGAACTCCCTTGGTATGTAAGTATGTTGAACTCCCTTGGCATGTAAGTATGTTGAACTCCCTTGGTATGTAAGTATGTTGAACTCCCTTGGCATGTAAGTATGTTGAACTCCCTTGGTATGTAAGTATGTTGAACTCCCTTGGCATGTAAGTATGTTGAACTCCCTTGGTATGTAAGTATGTTGAACTCCCTTGGTATGTAAGTATGTTGAACTCCCTTGGTATGTAAGTATGTTGAACTCCCTTGGTATGTAAGTATGTTGAACTCCCTTGGTATGTAAGTATGTTGAACTCCCTTGGTATGTAAGTATGTTGAACTCCCTTGGTATGTAAGTATGTTGAACTCCCTTGGTATGTAAGTATGTTGAACTCCCTTGGTATGTAAGTATGTTGAACTCCCTTGGTATGTAAGTATGTTGAACTCCCTTGGTATGTAAGTATGTTGAACTCCCTTGGTATGTAAGTATGTTGAACTCCCTTGGTATGTAAGTATGTTGAACTCCCTTGGTATGTAAGTATGTTGAACTCCCTTGGTATGTAAGTATGTTGAACTCCCTTGGTATGTAAGTATGTTGAACTCCCTTGGTATGTAAGTATGTTGAACTCCCTTGGTATGTAAGTATGTGAACTCCCTTGGTATGTAAGTATGTTGAACTCCCTTGGTATGTAAGTATGTTGAACTCCCTTGGTATGTAAGTATGTTGAACTCCCTTGGTATGTAAGTATGTTGAACTCCCTTGGTATGTAAGTATGTTGAACTCCCTTGGTATGTAAGTATGTTGAACTCCCTTGGCATGTAAGTATGTTGAACTCCCTTGGTATGTACGTATGTTGAACTCCCTTGGCATGTAAGTATGTTGAACTCCCTTGGTATGTAAGTATGTTGAACTCCCTTGGTATGTAAGTATGTTGAACTCCCTTGGTATGTAAGTATGTTGAACTCCCTTGGTATGTAAGTATGTTGAACTCCCTTGGTATGTAAGTATGTTGAACTCCCTTGGTATGTAAGTATGTTGAACTCCCTTGGTATGTAAGTATGTTGAACTCCCTTGGCATGTAAGTATGTTGAACTCCCTTGGTATGTAAGTATGTTGAACTCCCTTGGTATGTAAGTATGTTGAACTCCCTTGGTATGTATGTATGTTGAACTCCCTTGGTATGTAAGTATGTTGAACTCCCTTGGTATGTATGTATGTTGAACTCCCTTGGTATGTAAGTATGTTGAACTCCCTTGGTATGTAAGTATGTTGAACTCCCTTGGTATGTAAGTATGTTGAACTCCCTTGGTATGTAAGTATGTTGAACTCCCTTGGTATGTAAGTATGTTGAACTCCCTTGGTATGTATGTATGTGGAACTTTTTTCGCACCGTAACGTAGCCAACTGTGTTAATCGCAGGTGCGGGGGAAGGACAACAATCTAAACAGAAAGAAAGTTAAATTTTTATTTAAAGCTTTCGTGACTGCAGAGATTAATATTATTGGTTCTTTCGGTAAAGTCACGTAGAAGGGAAAAAAAAAAGATATTCTAATTATTTTGTTATTTACCTTCTACGCGACTTTACCGAAAGAACCAAGAATATAAAAAGAAAGTTCTAAAGAAGTGAATTTTCAATTGTGGCTCGCAACTTGTGCCGCGATTGCAGAAACCTGGGCTTCATTCCAGGCTAAATATCACATTTAGTGGCAATTTGTATCTGAACGTGTCACGAGCCGCTTCTCGGGTCGACTCAGCCGTGAACGAACGCGTCTCCGCTGCAGTTCGGTGAACATCGGCGTGGGCAGTGCCCCCCCCCACTCCGTTGCGTGCATAGGCGCTCGCTAACGGAGCTGCCCTCCGCGTGGGCGTTGTGCGCGCCTCCAGATACAGGTCTCCGCCGGACGCCCGCGGGAGAGGCTCCCTGCATTCCAAATCCAGACCTGCGGACGACGAGGTGCGTGCCCCCCCTCCCGTCCCTTCCCCTCCTCCCGATAGCCTCACAGCGAGCGCTTCGCTCCTTCCCCTGCAACTGGAGCGCCGCGGTGGCCAGGAGATGTTCACTACCTCGCCTGGTATGCAGGGTGTCGTGGGTTTGATCCCGACCCTGACGCCTGCTGCTGCTGTATATTTGGAGTTTGCGTGTCTCTCTCATCATCACGGTGGCCAGGAGATGTTAACTACCTCGCCTGGTATGCAGGGTGTCGTGGGTTCGATCCCGACCCTGACGCCTGCAGTATATTTGGAGTTTACGTGTCTCTCTTCCCGTGTTCGCGTGGATTATTATTACAATCAACACGCATTTACAGTATTTGGTTGCTGCTATAAATGGGTATGGCCAACTACAGATTGTGTACAAGCTTCCGATTGCAATATTCATCGTCATTTAAATCTTGTATGACAGTTCTAAAGAAGAGCATCAGGTATCCCGACTGTTGCTGCGATTTAAACAATGTTTTTGTATTTTCTCTTTTTTTTCTCAGGGAGATTTCCGTCACAAGTCCTCGTTTGTCATCTAAGCCACAACAGCTGGGGATTTCCTGCGGAACTCATTATAATTATTTTCTTTCTTTTTTCCTTTTAGAAAAAGGGAATTTTCTTTTTGAAAGGAACTCGATGGAATCTTAACGTAACGCTTTCTCCTTTTTGTTTTTGTACTAACGTAGATGAGTTACATTGAGCTTCACGGCGCACTAGACGATGGGAGGGTTGTCGACTAGAGTAGGAGGAGGCAACGCGAACCACAGCCGCCCCACATCTGCCTACGACGTGACGTTGCACTGGAAGACTTTTTATGCGCGAGGAGGAGGAGGGGGGAGGTGGAGGCGGTGGTGTGTCGTTTCAGAGATGCGAGAGCGGCCCTCCGGCACGCGATTGCTGGCCGTGCCAACCGGCTGGGTTTCCGCCATCGATCTGCTCTAGGCGAGAGCGGCCGCACGTATTATTATTGTTGTTGTTGTTGTCCGGCACACGACGGTCTGACATGTCGCTTCCTCGACGACGCTGCGGGGAGGAAACGTCGGACATCGTGCCGGGCAACGCACCGTGCAACCTTAAAACGCGTCCGAGTGCTATGGTCTAGGGGAAAACTAAAAACTCAAACCACCGCCTGGCCAAAATCATTTCCTGTGGCAGGTATTTACAACTTTTTGAGGTTCACCAGCCATAGGCACGTGATGGTCACTGAGATTGTTGTGGAAGGGAGTTTTAGTGTCGACACGTTTTTCTATTCCCATGCGGCTGTGTTTGTAGACAGTCTGCAGGCACCGGAGTCTGGTGGATGCTGCTGTGGCGGTAACAATTTCGCGTTTGATGTCTTCTCGTCGTCGGCAGCGCAGAGTCATTAGAAACGGAATGCCGCTTGCGACCGTGGTCGCCCCACTTGAAACTTTTAGAGCCTTGACAGTAACACAAATAATCGAGGTTCAGCCGCAGCTCCACCCTCCACTGCGTGCCGAGGCCGCTCGCAAAACCAAACACGTTGAACTTCTTTTGCACCGTACATAGCCGACCGTGCTCATCGGAGGCGCCACGCCAACGTCAGTATTTCCCACACGCCGTTCCTCGTACCCCGCCGCCCACCTCTGCAACTTGCCCTCGGTTACACCTTGCACGCGCCCGCTGATGGCTCGCCCGGACGATGAGTAACGGTGAACGCTGGGGCACCGCGGGGGGCTGGGCACCGGGCGGGCTACGTTTGTGTGGGGGGCCCCAGGGCTGTTCTAGTTTGGGGGTAGGGGGGCCCTCTTTGTCTCTCTTCAATTCCTTGCCCTGACCGCTTCGCCCGCCACCCATGCACGATGCGGCACAAATCCGGCTTTATTCACCTCGGTTATTTAACTTCTAGTTTTTTTTTAAAGTAACATACAAGTTGTAGAGCTAAATAAAAGTTCAAATTTGAAAAACTCTTAAAATTTCAGCGCATGACCGTTGGTGGCATATTCTCCAGATGATAAGACTCGCTTTTTTACCTGTAATTTAAAGAAAAAGTTAGGGTTGCATCTTATAGTGTGTGTCATTCGTTTGTGACACTGGGCACGAGTTTGGGGCATGTCTTAACTTTCCAGAGTGTCTTATAGTCCGCAAAATACGGTCTTTACACCGATTTATGCTCCAAGACCACCTGTAGGATCTCTCGCAGCGCCGTGGGTTTGCGCTTATATAGCTGGGGCCGCGGCCCCTGAAGCCTCTCGGTGAACCGGGCCTTGGGTCCGGGACTCGCAGCGTGCGGGAGACGCTGCCTCGTCGCCCGCCCGCGCCCGTCCTGGCGGTGTCGCGCCGGCGAGGCTGCTCGCTGGCGCGTGCCCCACGACACTGGCACATCGCTCGCGTCCTCCTCCGCCTCCTCCACTGCTGCTGCTGCTGCGTCTACCGCCCTAGCCCGGTGCGTCGTCCCGTTAGTCAAGAATGTAAAACCCCTCGCCGGGGTGCGGGTTTGGGTGAAGTCGTGGCAAGCTTTCACGAAGGCAAAGTGTTTGCATATGAGATTACTGACGCCCGCCCGCTCCACCGGTGCCATGTTTGTGAAGGAGATTATTAACGACGTTTATCCTGCCCGCTGGCTGGCGCTCGGGATGCGCTCAGAGGAACGTAATCACGTGCAAATTGTTTCACCATCACATTCCCTTTGATATATATGCACTGTGGAGTGCAATCGTTGTAACGTTAATCTTCGATCACGCGGGCCCCGCCTGCCCGATGCAACCCCAAAATATTGGAACTGCGACGGCTCGGAATTCAAGGAAAGATGGGATTTGCACACCGCTGCACGGATGATGCAACGTTGCGACCGACTAGGTTAACTGAAGTTGACGAACACCTTTGGCCGTACCGGGATCAGTCGCCCTTGGTTAACCACGGAGGCGGCTTCGCCTTTGGCTTGCTCAAGATTGGCCGTTAGCTTGCTCAAGATTAGCCGTTGGCTTGCTCAAGATTAGCCTTTGGCTCGCAGGAACGTCGTCGTCGTTCATTTCCAGTGCTCTCGATCTCGTCACATCTCGATCTCGTCATATCTCGGAAGCTAAGCAGGCTTTTTTTGAGCCTGGATATCCGCTTGTTCGCCGTGCATAACAGGTGTTAAAGACTGCAAGAGGGGGGGGGGGCAAACGTCATGCCCATCAAAGGGTCGTGCAGCCAAAATGCATTTTTGTACTGTACTTCTATGCTCTATGCCTTCACCGATCAGTGCTGACCAGCGTGGTGAAGTACGGCCCTGTAATGCCCACCAACCTGCACGGCATGGGGAGGCCCTCATCCAGCAGCGGATTGACAAAGAGCTGTACACATGTACGCACATAACAGACTGTACATTTGAAATCCTTCATCGCGAACTGAATATTCTTGCCACTGGTGGCGAGATGTTAACTACCTCGCCTGGTATACAGGAGGTTGTGGGTTCGATCCCGACCCTGACGCCTGCTGTATATTTAGAGTTTGCGTGTCTCTCTCCCCGTGGTCGCGTGAATGTTTCTCCGGGTCCTCCGGTCTTCCCCAATGCATTTAGAATCAACATCACGCGTTTAGAGAATAATTGCCAGCTAGAAATTGTATACGTGATGACCGGCGACTTTGTTGAGCTATCATTTGTGGCTTGGTCGCTTCTGAGAAAGACCTCTGTAGCTCCAAATCCGAATCTTTATTGAGACTGCAGTGGGCCACGAAGCTCTTTCTCACAGATGTCCAGTATGGGCGGGTCGGCAAGTTACAACACCAATACAAAATACCTGCTAACACTAAAATAGTTGAATAGTGTTTTTTTTGTTAATCAAACTATAAAAATATAGTTTAAATCTGAGAAGTCAATTCAGTTGACGTCCCAACCAGGGGCGCAGCGGCGCGTCGGAAGAGCCATTACGGCTCGACCGCGAAAAACCTGCGCGGTGGTCTCCTCGCGTCCAACGACGTAGCGCGGGCACAGCGGCTGGCACGCACGGGCACGGCCCGGCGTGATCGCGCCCGCGTTGTGTCGGGCACTTTGCGCGTGTGTGCCGCTGCGCTCCGACGTGGCCATCTTCATTCCCGAGCCTCGCAAACATCGTCGCATCGGTGATGGTGACGGGCGCGTTCTCTATGATGGCACGAAGCTCGCGTCTCCGCTCGCTGCCGCTGCAACTTAGCGGCTGCTCACTCTGCCGTACCGCCGCTGGTCTTCACGGTGCCAGATTTGTCCGCCGCTGCGGCATAATGGCTTTTGGCCTGGGGCCCTTGGCTGGCGGGTGGGCGGGCGACGACATCTGTGTTATTTTTTGTTGCGTTGTCTTGTGAAGGTGTTCGCGCCTCGCGAGCCACAAACCTTCTCCATCCAGTTGGTAGATGCGGAGGACTGGCACCACGTGGCCAAACCTCTAACCGCTCCTCGCGCCGCACATCCTCGCGTGCGCGTGGCCTTGGCGTGAGCTGGGAGTGCGCGTGAGCTTGTTTACAAGAGAGGCATCTGTCTGTGGCGACCAGTGGCCTCAAGCTTCTGGCGGCAGTCGAGATTTGTGCAAAAACACGAGAAATAACTGCCCCCAGTCCTGTAGCCCGGTTTCCATGTTAATTGATTGGATAGGAAAAGTGGACATTTGAATATCCAAATGTGCCATTTTGTCCACGATTACACTAATTATCGCAAAACGGCCACCTCTGCCCACCAACGCGCCGTGGGATAACCGATCATTACAAGACGCACGCTCATGAGTCTCACAAATGCCGATAAAATTATATTCAATTATCCTTCAAGGCTTCCCAAAAAATACACCTACATACATTTGAAATGTCTACGCAAAAATAATGAGGTATATGCAGGACATGGGTATAAACTGTTATTTTTTTTACAAAAAAAACTTGCATTGTTTTAAATTCAAATTAAGAATTCCCATAATTATATTTAAGCGAATGCCAACATTTGAAAATATTATTTACGGAAACCTAGCTGATGTTAAAACGGTCGGCCGTAATGTTTAATTTGACGTTTGCAGAGTAAAACTGTAGTCCCATTGAGTGTGAGAATGCCGAAGCAGACAAAGCCATCTGCCTGACGAGAGAGAAAATCTGGTGTCACTCCTTTTCTCTCCTCTCGCTTTAGCCCTTGGGCTGCAGTCTCCTTTTTTGTTGGGTGGCGGTGCTCGGAATGATGTATTTAATTTGGAGAAAAAAAATTATCTTTTTATACACAGTGGCGTGTAATGTGTGAGTTAAAGCCATATTACCGGAGCACGCCTGCTGCGGGCAGAATTGCGGTTACTGAAAGGAGGGGGTGTGCTATTACCGTTGCTGGCGACTGCCAATACCTCTTTTCCCACTGCACAACCGAGCCGTGCCGAGGCCGTTTCTGAGCCAGCCCAGCGCAGCTCAGGAGGCATCGAGTTATTTTTCCACTGCAGAAAGCCGAGCCGTGCTGCTGACGTCATGCACAACGTACGTGCCACTAAACTAAGCAAATTTTTTTTACCAGCTTCTGAAAGAAGGGCAGATAAACAGATGCGATTACGGCCAGGTAACTATTGGTGAACTATTTAAAACTTTTTATTTCACCAGGTAAGGCCCACCGAGCTGCTATATAGCTAATTTTCAGAAGCGATCTGGCCACAAATGATAGCTCAACGCAGCGGCTTGTCTGGAAATTTATAGCAGCCAAATACTCTTAAACGCTTATTTTTAAATGTGGGGGGAAAAAACTGGACGACCTGGAGAAAAATCCACGCTACTACAGGGAGAACATGAAACTCTAAATATACAGGTGTCTGGGTTGGGATCGGGATTGAACCCACGATCTGGATACCAGGGGTGGCAGTCAACATCTCGCCAGTGTGGCGCCCTGACCCTGGCCTTGTGTGGCCCTGAGTCAAGATTCAGATGCCCTCTTGTGAGGTGAGCGTATCACGGGTTAGTTCCGCCTCGGCCAGTAGGAAAACACCGGGAACCGTGAGAGCCCTGCGCTGCCTCGGCTCGGATGTGCCGGTGGAAACGGGGTACAAAAGTGTCATATTTTTGGCCAATTTCGAGTCGCATTTAAACAAATTTTAAGTCAAGGGCACGTATTTCAGTATTGTTCTTTAAACGTCTACTGGTTTTTTTCAAGACGGCAACTTGCAGTAGATCTGCTGGAGGAAATGTTTCTATAAATATAAGCCATTGAATAGAACGGTATCCAAGATGCGCTGCATCGCATTTTTCTGAACAGCGCAGTCCGACTAAATCGGCGGTTTCCTGCCTGCGATCTCGCGGCCAGGAGTGCGATGTTGAGTAATTGCGGTTGGTTTGAGGGTACAAGTGAGGGGACAGGTGAGGGGACAGGTGAGGGGACAGGTGAGAGCCCTGAGCTCTGATGCTGCGAGAGTCACTGACGACCGGCCCCTACCACGGTCCAAACGTCCCACTGAGTGCGAGTCTTGCTGAACGTTTGAAACCACGACGGGTGCATGGCAGAGAGGGGGGCGGTGTGTGGGGGGGGGTCTGTTTACGGCTGCATCAATCCAGTGTTATCCGCGGCTTGAACGTGCACCATGTCTGACTCGCATCGCTAAGAGTGCCAGAAGTGGACCGGGGACACGCGGCGAATTCGACGTTGCGATGAGTGGGGGGGGGGGGGGGGCGCTCTTAAATAAGTTGCCCCAGCCGCTGCAAACCCTAGAGGGCGGGGGGGGGGGGGCATCCCCTTTGGCGGCATGTGCTTTGCCATCGCTGCCCAGTGCACGCTGCGGTGAAGGGGGTAAAGCTGCAGCCCCCCCCCCACGTTCGCGCCACTGGCGGCTGGAGGGGGCCACCCCCACCAGCGGACAGCCTCTCGTGAGCGCCCCTCCAGAGAGTGATTTGGCCTCCTCTTCCGATTGCTGACCGGATGTGTTGGAGGAGCCGGGGGGGGTGCTGCCGGCTGCTGCTGCCTAGCGAGCCGAGCCTTTCCGCTGCCCCCACAGCTGCTGCTCCCTCGCCTTCGCTGGCTCGCCTGTGCACCAACATGGCCACCTCAAGACGGCAGCCTCTCTGGCATTTTCGAGGAGAGCCCGGCCCGCCACGCATTGTGAAATGGCGCAGCTTCTTTTTTTCGTGCGTTTTGCTAAGTTCTGTAAATGCTAATCACGTTTTTACATGCTGAAATGTATTTTGTAGTAAACACTATAGATGCTAATACGTGTTTACATGTGTACTTTGTATTAATAAAAAAAATCAACTTTAACAACAAGGGCCTTGCGTCGAATACCTCAATTAGCCGGAATTCATGGATAGCGGACTTATTTGAAACATATCCCACATAAAGGACGAGATGGCGGGTACAAGGGGCCGATCTGAGGTTTCTCCGCACGGTAACCCGGGAGAGCCTCGGAGTCGAGCCGCGCTGCTCCTCCGGATCGAGAAGAGCCAGTTGGGGTGGTTCGGGCACCTGGTCAGGATGCCCCCCGGTAGACTCCCCCTGGAACCCTACCAGGATCGTCTCACTGGGCGAAGACCCCGGGGCCGGCACAGGACACGCTGCTGCTGCTGCTGCTGGCGGGGCTGTGTCGCTCGGCTGGACTGGGAACGCCTGGGAATTCCCCAGGAAGAGCTGGAAGTCGAGACCGAACGAACATATCTGGCTGAAATTGTACAGGGACATGATGGGCTGCCGGGCGCGTGTGGCGTGGAATCTGACAAGTGAAAACGGAAGGGCGACAATTTTTGAAGATGCTGTCTGAGCTGGGATTGCCACCTCTGGAACTCCAAAAAACCAGGGACACATCAAGGGAAGCTCACTATCTCACATTACCATGAGAGGGAAACACGACATGTACGTGCATCTGTTTGAGTGTTTCATAATCTTTACATAACTGACAAAAAACTTTTAACGTCCCACGAGGGAATTGTGGCTTTCTCGGCGCAGCTATCTCAACAAGTGGACGATCCGTGGAACACCAGGCGAGGTGGCAACCCCGACCCTAGCCCGGGCCCAGTGACCTTGTGTAACGCTGTGGTGTGGCCGTCCATTGATTGCCGACCGCTGCTCTTGAGCGAGCAGCTCACCGCACTCAGTCGGGGGACTTCGTGGCGCCCTTCGGATTTGACGCCCCATGCGCCGTGTGAACGCGGCGAAGTGGATACGGTGCACGTGGGCAACGTTCGGGCCGAGTTGGAAGTTCGGTGGATTCGTGCGAGGCCGGCGGCTTGGCCTACGCCAGGATCTGTTCGTCAAGCGCGTCGCGTCGTGCGGAGCGACGAGGAGAGCGTGGGGCCCGTCACTCGACTTGTTCCGCTCCGTCTTTTCTCGCTGCTTGGGAATCTGATCACCGCTGGCCCCACGAATGACAGTGGCACCGGTGACAGTTTGTGGCTTCAGTGGGAAGAGAAACGCGCTCAAATATGTCGCCCCTCGTGCATTAAAAATGTGCGGCTGGGAGGTGACGCCGTGGTGGTGGTGATGATGGCAAAGTAGCTTCTGAACAAAGGGCAGATAAACAGAAATAATTACGGCCAGGTATCTATTGGTCAAATATTTAAAACAACATTTTTTTTCACCAGGTAAGGCCCACTGAGCTGCTATATAGCTCTTGTTCACAAGCGACCTGGCCACAAATGATAGCGAAACGAAGCGGCCTATCATCACGTGAAAATTGAGCAGCCAAAAACTCTAAACGCGTGATGATGATTCTAAATGTGAAAAACCGGAGGACCTGGAGAAAAATCCACGCGACCACGGGGAGAACATGCAAACTCCAAATATACAAGCGTCGGGGTCGGAATTGAAACTCACGACCTCCTATACACGAGGCGAGGGAGATAACATCTCGCCACTGTGACAATATAAAAACATGCGATGAATATTGCGAAATCCATTCATTGAATGCTTTGCAAAGCACTAATTTAATCGATATCTTAGTAATGGCTGCATCTCCCCCACGAATTGAAAGAAAAGGAGCGTACATTTTATAAGCGTTATGAGGAATACACACAGTTAAGATGTCTCTGGTCAATATTGTATTGATTGCAATTGCACAGCCCATATTGCATAATTAGAAGCCATCATGAAATGCAAGATGACTGATGATCCATTAGGTGACCGAATCAGGCTCCTGTGGGCCAAAATATATGTGTATGCATACCTGTCAACCCCTTATTAGTGCTTACAGACAAATTCAAACCTTAATAATAATAATGCAATTTATAATGCGCAAATTTGCGGACGTAACGGCCGCAACTCAGAGGCGCGGAGCCAAGCTCAGAGCCGCTCGAAAGCGTGGTTGTAGAGGTGAGTTTTTGAGTCTCTCTTGAAGGAGGCGATTGAGGTGATGCTGCGAATGTGCCTCAATAGATATCAACGTTCATCTTACCAAGTCCCATCACAAGGGAGAAACGGACAAATAGACAGAAAATTTTGCCCGTATTGAAACGGCTGTACGCCGCATGGACCTGAAAACTCAATTTCCCTGTACAAGAATACAGGTAACCCGTATGGTCCATAATAGAGGTTGTTTGGGTGAGATCGCATTAATATATAAATGTGTCGTTAAAACCCGCCACCACCCGACACAGCCAACTAGTAAGGGTTGTCACGTCAACAGAACATGCCAATTCGTCACTAGTACAGCACACCGGTGTGTTGGAGAGCCAAGCCACAACATTTACAATCTGGCTGTCGCCTGATGAAGCTAGTTGTAATTACTGGCGAATCGTCGTACCAGTGACGAATTGGCATGTTCTGTTAACGTGACAACCCTTACTAGTTGTCTGTGTCGGGTGGTGGCGGGTTTTAACGACACATTTATATATTTACGCGATCTAACCCAAAAAACCTCTTATGGATGATATTGGTCGCGAAAGCCTCCTCCGACGTGTTAAACTTACCCGTATGGGTCTACAGGTGTGGGTATGGCAACTGGAACTCAAACTCTGTGGCTGAGAAACCGACGTCGTGGGGACCGTACATTGGTTATTGAGAGTGGCCATTTGGAAGTCCGAGATGGCCACTGTAATGAGGTTCCTGCAGCTTGGCTGCCTACCTGAGAATACGTTGGGTGTTTTCCTGCCAAATGTCACGCTTGCACCACAGGGTGCACCATCGGTTCAAGTCGCGTCACACCTGCCAAAGTCACTCGCTCTGCGTTCTGCATCTAAGCCAATGTGTAAGAAAGCTGCAATAATATGCAGCGAACGAACATAACACACACTATTTATGTAAATTACAGGAAGGGCTCACGGTTTCATAATCCTCAGTGAGCGACATTGATCCTCTAACGAGCACCAGTGGACAAAGTTGGAGGGCTTCGCGTGAACGCGATGATGCGCGGGTGATGCCACTCCGAGCAGGGCTTCCCGCACGGGACACGCGGTGATTGCACCGCCCTCCCGCCCTGGAGCGCACCCTCTTGTGGTTAATTACAGCATTGGACATCCATGCCCGCGCTGTTCGGGAGGTCCGGGACCTCTGTGAACACGAATCGTGTGAAGCTCGTCCCCACGGGAGAGGTCACGCCCGTTGTGGAGAAGCGACATCATCAGCTCGGTCAGGTTTGGGGCCTCAATATTTGAGAGGCTATTTATACTCTTTGGTTATTTCGGTAAAGTGACGGAGAAAATAAAATAATAGAATACGACGTTTCGGTTGTAACACAAGCAGCCATCATCAGGTAAAAATGAATGATAAAATACAGACACGGAAAAGAACATAGGCAGACACACATGCAGAGACACACACCAAGACAACGAATCTGTGCCGAGGCCTTAAATAGAGAGAGGGGGGAGGGGCCGGGGCAGAGAGGGGACTGGGGAGGCGGGACCAGCGGACACACGTGGGGACAAGGAGGGAGCAGTGTGGAATTCCGGACCACCATGCTTTTCATGATGATCACATCACGGATCTTGTTGCCTAACCACATCATTACGCATCACGGGCTCGAACATGTAACGCTGTCGGGGCGCTCCGTCTTCGCACAACAAGCGTCGTTGTTCGTCTGCCACTGTTGTTGAAAACATCTCCCACGGTGGTTGTCAAGGGGGCCCCGACTCGGAGCTTTGGCCATCAGGGGGGGGGGGCAAGGCGCCCCCTGCCTGTCCCACCACGCTCGCTACGCCACTGGCTCACGGACAACCGCCCGTGGTGCAAAGGCGGCACGAATCTGCAGCGTCGCTAAAAGCTCCGGATGGTGTTCATCACTACATCAGTCGGGCTCTTGAATCAGTGGTGGAAATTCCCCATTGCTATGGCAGACACCAGTATATTCATTGGACAACTGGTCTGGTACGTATTTAATGACCTCATGAGAGATGATGAGTTGTCTTAATACCGGCCACTAATATTCTGTTCAGCTGGACATGGGGTGCCCCGGTGGCTAGGAGATGTTAACTACCTCGCCTGGTATGTAGGAGGTCGAGGGTTGATCCCGACCCTGACGCCTGCTGTAGATTTGGAGTTTGCGTGTCTCTCTTCCCGTGGTCGCGTGGATCTTTTCCTCCGGGTCCTCCGGGTTTTCCCTCCACATTTAGAATCAACACCACGCCTTCAGAAGGTTTGGCTGCTACACATTTCCACGCGATAAGCCACTTCGTTGGGCCACCATTTGTGATTGCCTGGTCGCTTCTGAAAGAACGCTGCATAGCTCAGTGGGCCTTACCTGGTGCCTGGTGA